TGTCAAAAGGGGGAAATGTTGTAATTAAGTATGTTTCGAGCTATTATGTATTCTGAATCTGTATTTTGCACTGAGCCTATGATTATGTTTTGGATTTTTCACTGAGCACAGCATATGTCCTTGAAGGTAATATTGTTGGTGAGAACCGGTTCACACACCTGGAGACAGAGGAAATTCCTCTTTTCTATCAGATGCGATTGTTGACTTAGCTACACGCCATACCAACAACATACACACATGTTGCTTACCAAATTTCAAGGACGTGAACAGAGCGCAGAAGAGGTATGCCTGTCCACGTCAACGGTAATTGGCCAATTAAGCTCGGTAGCGTACAAGTCTTATCTATGTTCGGGGCAGTCCCAGCCCAAGAAGATATCTGTAACCTGAAACCGGACAAAAACTCAGTTCAGCTGGACATGAGAGTGTTCTCTGTCTGTCTGAATGCAGCGCTGCAAAACTTTTCATGTGACCTGAATAAACTGTTTAATCTGAGACCTGAACTTTTCTCCGACCATTTCTTGGAGCTTGTAGGATATGAACAACCACAGATCCCCAAAAGACAGAACTTTCCAGCTCACATTCACATGCTGTGGGACAGAGGACTTTCCTGCAGGTCATAGGTGTGTGTAGATCAGCCTCGTAGACGGGCTAGAGCCAGGGCCTGACAGCTTTGTTGCAGAGCCCAGGAAGTTGCAGATCAAATGATCACACCATCAGAGCTTCAAAGGGAACTAACAGATAAGAGACACTCAAGAAGACTAAGGAAAACATCCATCGACAAAGATCCTGACCTAGCTTAGCTAACCAAATGGCAGCATGGAAGACAGGCATCTGGCTGAATGTTATTGCTCCTCCCTAAGGAATGCAGCGTGGACAATTTGAAGAAAGCACAGGAGAATCTTAACGTGTCTTTACTATGCTATGTTAGTTAAGTGTTGTTAAATGTGAAAGTACGTAATATCATGATAAACACCCCATATTGTGCTGACTGAGATTATATCGCTGGACGAATAATTTAAAGGTTGGTTTTAATAATTTTAATTAATGCAATAATTTGCTTTATGGTGGAAATAATTATTATTAATAATAATCATTTCCTACCCTACAAGCTGTTTCAACAAAAGAACTGGGTCGAACAAGATGTCATGATGCTCATGATATAGTAGCCACACCTTGTATATCCTGAATTGTAGTCCTTGTGATTTGCTAAATTGCGTTGTTTAAAACTCTGATTGTGATTTGGAAACTAATTAATTGTTTAGCCCTAGTCAATGATGTTACAAATTCAGTAACTTTCAGTCAGGATCTCCCAGGAGAAGCTGGAAAATGTTGTGTAGTCTACATCTGGAATGCATGCACCACAGCCTGATTCATGAAAAACAGGAAAAAATGGATGTGCATGTGGGGTGTTTTTTTATCATCACATTAGTAACTTTTTTCTTGTGTCCCTTTCTCACCACAGATCTCCCACAGCGACAAGTCTGTAAGGAGGAGGGGGTTCTTGCTGAGCAAGTCTGTGACCAAGAGAGGAACTCCAGTGTACACCAGGAGGACCCAGAGATTCCACAGATTAAAGAGGAACAGGAGGAACTCTGCACCAGTATGGACCAGTGAGACCTAGAACCTCCAAAGATTAAAGAGGAGCAGGAGGAACTATACACCAATGTAGACAGGGAGCAGCTTGTGCTGAAACTGGAGACTGATACCTTTGTTGTGACATCTTCTACCGATGAGGAAAGTGACCTAAGTCTGTTAGCCATTTAAAAAAAAAATCATTGCATTCACACAGATGAGAAGCCGTATACTTGCAAAATATGTGGACTAAATTTCTCTATAAATAGCAAATTGAAAATCCACATGAGAGTCCATACAGGTGAAAAGTCTTATACTTGTGAGTCGTGGAAAAAGTTTTACTTTACGTCACACTTAGAAAATCCATTTGAGAATCCACACAGATGAGAAGCCTTATGCCTGTGACATATGTAGAAAAAGTATCGGACACAATTCTTACCTAAAAACCCATATGGCATCTCACACAGGTGAGAAGTTATACACTTGTACCATGTGTGAAAAAAAGATTTTATGAACCAGGAACACTTAAAAAAACCCCTTAGAATCCACACAGGTGAGGGATCATAGTAACTGGTAAGGTAACTGATAAATTTAAATCTGTTGGAGACACAAGTTGTTGACTAGCATGATTTACCCCTGTTTTACCTTCCCAACAGCTGGATGAGAAACATAGTCTAGGATCTTGATTTGATCTGACGTTTTGTCCAGATCATTTAGTAATATGAGGTGTAGGTGCAACCAGGTTAGTAAATCGATGTCCATAAATCGCTATCATTGGAAAATCAGGGCACCACCTTCAATTAAAGAAAGACAGAGTTACACAAAAGATCAGACTCATAAATCAACCTCAAACAGTACATTCAGCTATCAATTTGATACTAATTTTAAAAAAATAAATCAAGACCTACCACCGATATTACCACCTGAATTGCTAGGCTGAAGAATTTTAGAGTTCAAGGTAGTAGGGGTTGCCAGAGGAATTCAAGCAAAACTCACAGCATACACAATATAATATACTTTTTTAAAAAATGCATTTGTGTGTGTTTGAGGCTAGTTCAGTGTGTGTGTGTGTGTGTGTTATCTTTGGTTAAGAAAGAGGATGTTATTTTGTATGCAGGACCTTTTTGTCTAACTATACTTAGGATTGTGGCGGAGGCAAATACCAAATAACCTAACTGTAAAAATGGATCAAACAATCAAAGTCTGTAAATACAGTGAAAACCGTACAATTAACCTAAACAGCTCTGTGGTTAGCCATGTTCACTGTCAGGCTACACTTGCTGTGTATTTGCTCAGTTACCAGTTCCTGAGTGTGTTGTTCTGTTAGCCGTCAGTATGTATGTTTAGAAGATTTGTCGATCGGAGGAGACCAGTCCCAGAGTTAGCAGGTTAGCGTTCACTTGCACCAGTTTAGTTAGTTGGCAGACTTTCTGTCACAGCTGATGTGGCTAATTCAATTCTTTTACACTCGGTTACCTTGTGTGTAGCTTGTAGAGTTTTCTGATACTAGGGGAAAAAACTGTCATTGAGATAGTTTATTTTTCTGTGCTATGGATTTCTTTTTTAAAAATATCCAAATTTTCACATGACTTGATTAGCCCTGTTTGGAAAGGGTTAATCATCCTAAATTGAGAGGGGTGATTTTGTATGGGAGTGCATCTACATGGAAAATAAACTGTTTAAAAGCTGAAAAATGACTTCTCACTGTAAAAAAAAAAAAAAAAAAAAAAAAAACTGTCTGGGAACCTTTCTTATATGGTGTAACACTAACAAAGGCATCCAATAGAGTTTTTGGCTTGTTTTTTTCAATAAAGTAATACTTTCATTTCCATGCTTTGCTATGTTCCTCTTAATGTACAAATCTGCATAAAAATAAGACTTAAAATAAGGTTTTTAATACCTGAATTAGTAGTTAGTTTTACTGTGATACACATGGCAACATTGTCCTTATTTTGTCAAGATCTGTCTGTACAACTGACTAGTGTTGTGTAAGCATTATTATCGTTAAACAAATTCAGTAGTCTGACATGTCTTTGTCTTTCTTTATTCAAAGCTTTGAAGGTACAAGTCACACAGAATGCAAGCAGTCTGCAGGAGAGTACAGCTGCATATAGATAGCACGTTACTTTTATACAATAAGAGGGGGTGCGACCTTCCTGATATGACACCTGGCTGTTGCAGGGGCAGATTTGTCCAGTTCCCCTACACACACTTGAAACCAGACAGCAGGCTTTATCAGAAAGGGAGCAGGGGCGGCTTGTTGGTCAAGACAACCTTATACCTTAGCATGTGGGTATTCAGAGTGCTTCAGACGTTTCTGCTTTTCTGTTCTTCTGCTTGTCTGAGAAACTCACAAACAACACAGGGTCATATTGAGGTATGTGGGGGGGGAAGGTTACCTTTGCAGCAGCAATGTACAAGCGTATAGCATTTCCATCCATCCATCCATTTTCTATACACCGCTTAATCCTCATTAGGGTCGCGGGGGGGCTGGAGCCTATCCC